ATAAGTGGAACAAATGTGCTTCCACATATCATAAGCATCGGTAAAGCGACGAAGACTAAGACCGGTGGCCATATCCACGCAACCCAAAAGCCAGGTCACTATCTGAGCATTCCCGGCAGCCCAATCATCAATATCCTTAGCCGCAGAGCCGGCCGCAGGACGAGGCCACTGCCCATTCAAGATTGGAAGCAACCGACGCCCTTCCACGAAATTCCGAAACTGGAATTCCCATAGTGGGAAATTCTTCCCGTCGAACTTGACCGAAAAACCTTCCATTGTGCTGGGAGCTAAGGCAGAAAAAATAGCAAGCAGAGGAGTCACCAACCTGATGCAGCGCTCATATCAACACAGTCTAGAGTGGCAAAAATGATAATAGTTAATGAAACCATGGGAAGAATGTCAATAGTTGAAATGGCCCATTATACACGTTTTTTTACTAGGTCATTCTTGATGCAAAAAAAATTGAAGTTGAATCTTTGAAGAAGAGGGACAAGCTCCCAGAAATGCTTTTTTGAAGAGTCTACCTAGGAACTCTGACAATGATTTTCGTAGAACTTTAATTCCCACAACCGTTTACCTTATTAATCTTGTTAATAAAAAAAATAATCATTAAAATGACAATTCTCATAAACATTTTTAGTTACATTGTTAAAAGGAAATCATTTTGAAGAGAAGAAAATTAATAAAAGTTCAAAAAGTTAATTCTCACGACCTTTGGCGGTTGCTACTTTCATATTTCACTTGTTCTCATCCCAATCAGTTCCAAATCATAGAATTAGTTAGTGATTAGCGTGTGTATTAATGGAAAGACTAGAAAGAGACACATCTATAAAATTGGCTCAAGATAGGGTGCCTACCTTTACCTTCCTCTCCCCTCTCACTAGTTTTCAAATACAGATCTGGGATTTGGGGCTACCATTGGTAACCATTTTGGACCGGCGGTGGCCCAAACATTTTTCTTTCTTGCCTCTCTTTTTTCATTCTCTAGTCTTTCTTTCCTTTTCACGCCGCTGGCGCTGTTCTTTTGCTGCTTATTTTCCATTTCCAGTTTTCCTCCATCCTAGTGATGATGATTTTCTGATCTCCCCGAGGAGATGCTTTTGCGCCCCGCCAGATCCCCGATCTGTGTGGATGTTTTCTCTAGTAGGTGTTTGAGGGTGTCGAGCTCGTCGGTTCGCTTGCTCCTCTCTGGTCCTCCATCTACCTCCACATGTTTCATCCAAAAATGGAGATGAATCGGAGATGCATGGACCCTGGCTGGTTTGGATGAAGATTCAGGGGGCTTGTAAGCAGGGATGACACTATTGAGGATGGGACCAGCTTAGGGCTCAGATCGGAGGTGTTTTGATCGTCTTTCTTCTGTCCAAGAATCGGATGGCTTTTTGTTTTACTTATTTCGTGCAAGTGGAGCTCGGAGCTGGATCGGAGATTGGTTCCCCTCATTGAGGTTTTCGCTCTTCCTTTTTTCCATCACGTCGGGGGTCTGCTGGAGCTGGTGGTGTTTTGGAGCCCTTGTTCACTTCCTCCGTCGTTCACCGGCGATTGGTCACGTGAAGGTTGAAAGGATTTCGGCGGCTGGTTCTCGGTGCTGGGGGATGCTTTCGGTTGCCATCCTCTGTGTGTTTGGGCTAGCGGATTTAGGGTTTTGCTTGGGGTGGGCTAGTCCACGTGTTTGGACATGGGTTTTGGGCTTGCGAGTCTTGGGCCTGGATGTTCCACTTTTGGTTCAATCCTTTTTCCGTTTGGTTCTTTCGTCCTTCCTTTCAGTGATGTTATCTCTGTACACCGTGTTTTGTTTTTTAATGAAACAGCCAACCAACGTTCAAAAAATAAAAATAAAACCAAATTTGGACCCTTCATTTAGAAAATCCAGATCTAAGGATGGAGAATTAAAGACCATTTTTATTTTCCCTAGCTTTCTTAATTGACTCGTATCTTTTTCGTTTTAACGTGGATTTTAATATTTTTTTGCACAGATGGAACGAGTTCATCGTGCTCTACAAAATGAGATCAATTTTCAATATTTTTTTAGAAAAAAAAAATTCTGGCCTCTCGGTACCAACTGCATACCATATGGTATCTTCTTCGTTTTTGAAACATTTGCACAAAAGGGACGAGTTCATCATGATCTATTGGATCTATAAATTTCTGGGTGAACAAATTACAAGACCAAAAAATACCACACAATACCACCCTGGTACGGGGTGGTATCTTGTGGTATACAATGTTAAAAGTCGTAAATGACAATTAATATACTTCTACTATCATGTATTCAACCATCCTACAGTCTTTGTTTGTCCATACCACCATGGTACGCTTTTCAAATCATAGGTATGCTCTTATTTCAATACCAGTCAATACCATATGGTATAGACTGGTAAAAAATGGCTCAATTTTTTTTTGTTCGAAAAATATATCAAAGTGGATATCATTTTGAAGAGCACAATTAATCTGATCTAACTGTGGAAAAAAAATCGACTTAAAATGAGTGAGAAATCGTCCGTCAAAGATTAAGGAGGGGAAAATTAAGGGCTTTCTAGGAGAAAGAGGATGCTGATGTCATGCTCATGTGGACGGGTTACTCACCATAAGGTTACTGACCTGATCCATTCCCTATAAAATTACTCTGTTGGGTCGGGGAACGGATTAGGTCAGTAACCTTATGGTGAGTAACCATAGTAACCCGTCCACATCAGCATGACATCAGCATCCCTCCCTCTCATGAAAAGCCTTTAATTTTTCCCTCATTAATCTTTAATTTTGTTTGCACAGTTAGATCAGATTAATTGTGCTCTTCAAAATGATATCCACTTTGATATATTTTTCGAACAAAAAAAATTGAGTCATTTTTTACCAGTCTATACCATATGGTATTGAGTGGTATTGAAATAAGAGCATAGCTATGGTTTGAAAAGCGTACCATGGTGGTATGAACAAACCAAGACTGTAGGATGGTTGAATACATGATAGTAGAAGTATATTAACTGTCATTTACGACTTTTAACATTGTGTACCACAAGATACCACCCCGTACCAGGGTGGTATTATATGGTATTGTGTGGTATTTTTTGGTCTTGTAATTTGTTCAACCAGAAATTTGTAGATCCAATAGATCATGATGAACTCGTCCCTTTTGTGCAAACATTTTCAAAAACGAATTAAAAACGAAGAAAATACCATATGGTATGCAGTTGGTATCGAGAGGCCAGATTTTTTTTCTCAAAAAATATTGAAATTTGATCTCATTTTGTAGAGCACGATGAACTCGTTCCATCTGTGCAAAAAAAATTAAAATCCGAGTTAAAAAGAAAAAGATATAAGCTTATTAAGAAAGTTATGGAAAATAAAAATGGTCTTTAATTCTCCATCGTTAGATCTGGATTTTCTAAATAAAGGGTCCAAATTTGGTTATTGATGGGTACATAACCCATGGTTATGCACCCTATCTTGACCATATCTTCTCGCACTTAATCATCTCTTTCTTGCAATATTTTAATTCGGCAGCTCTACTTAATCATCTCTTTCTTGTAATATTTATAATAACTTGAGTTGTTTAGAAATGTCCTTGATCTTATATCGTATACTAGCACGCATACCCTTTCAAACGAAAGCCAATCTCATATGGATTTGAAATTTGCACAAGTTCGAATATCATGTGACTATTAAAATCATCGATCGGAATCCGAACACAAAGCCTCTCGGTTATCGAAACTCTGATATATACTATATCAAGAACCAGTTGATAACAACGTCTATATACTAACAACATCTACTACTAGGTCACTGATAATTAATGTTGAGAAACCCATTCATACCGGTAAGTGGTAACCCTATACAAATTTAAAATGTATGACATTAGTTGTCTTACCCTTATTTAGTCCTCCGAGAAACGTACATTGTCAAGAAAAGATCGAAACATTGGAACTCTATCTGTCTACCCTGTCCACTGCCGACGGTAGTGCGTTGTCCGGATTCCATCTGTACCGCATCGCCGCCATGCAAGTCCGGTTAGCTATATATACTTGTTGCATATATATATATACTACGTACCTCTACTTGTGCCAAATACATCATTTCATCAAATCGGCCGGACGCGGCCGCCGGGCTAGAACCGCCGACAACTGCAGCGGGTTGTCGTGTAAGTAAAAACCGCCATGTGGGTTTGATATATTTAATTAGTTACCATGGTAGGAAGATAAAAAATGTGCAAACTCTTTTCGAACAAGTACTCGAGTGATCGAAACTAGGTGGTTTGTTTGTTAATATGATACCAAATCCTTTGATCGATCGAAAGGTTATGATTTTCAAATCTTTATGACAATTCTCGGTATATATAATGGCTTAGCACAAGTGATGATATATGTTAAACCGGTGCAGACGGAAAGCTTTACGATTAAGCAATAAGCAGGACAAGACTTGATTTATTGAGACTAAGTGTTTTGTTCGTTAGCAGGCATCGAAAACTGCTATTGGTGGGACGAGTACATGAGGTGCACCAGACCCTGCTGATCGGCGCTGCCAGGCGTTCAAATGAGATCTAAACGACGTTGTTTTGGTCGCCTACACCATCCAGCCGCCGTAGTTCTACCTACGTTTTGTGGTGAACTTTCGTTAATCATATGGTTTAATGACCATGCATGTGTGCCAACTGGAGTGGTTGATAGTTATCGTCCTCTCAGTTTCTGCGATTAATTTCCGTGTATGATCAACGATGATCGATTAAATATAACAAATACTAGATTAATTAATACTTGAATATACTCCCCCGTCGAGTTCTAAACCGGTTAAATAAGGTTTTGGGCAAAGTCAAGATTTAGAGAGATCGAGGGGCACCAGGTTCTAATTATATAATAGCAAATACAATCTTGCAATTTTTGTATGACACGATGTATTAAAGTATATACAAACTGTTTTCCGGCGAGGGAATGTTGTTTTGAGGGTGATTAAACACAAACGTATATATTATATAACACGATCAAATCAAAGGGAGAAATAACCATCATACCGTTAAAATTTATAAAATGAGGGAACAGTACTACTGAAGTAAAATTAGAGCATAAAATACCATATAAGTGAATCAAATGTTCATAATTCTACTTTTCCGTCCAGTTCAGAAACTAAAAAGCCAACTCAGCGTTGCCCGGCCTGGAAAAATCCCCCAGTTCGCTGACGCCAACCCTTTCACTCCGGCCGGCATTGAAGAGGCAATCAAATGAGTTCGTCTAGAAGTCTGTATATATGTTTCTGTTGAGTGCAAAAAGTGAAGTGATCAAGGCTTGTTTTAAGACTTAATATCATATTGAAAATCCAGTTTTCAATCTTTCCCTCGTCTCCAACGGTCGAATACGTGGACGACGACGTTTTTCCCTTCATCGCTGGACTCCACCGCTGCGGCATCGTTTCGGCTTGTTCACTGTGCAGCTGACTTATTTCCGAGACTAAAGCGCGGTCGTTTTTATCTTCCCCTTTATGTCTGTACTTTCTTTTCCGGCAAGTTTTGTCTTGTTTCCCTTCCAAGCTTCCAAACAAGCTGTAATGGAGCTTGTCTTTCTTCACTTCTGTATCGCCTATATAAGGCAGACAAAGCAATGAGAAAGGACAGGATTGTAGGGTTTTCAGTTCACAAACACTTCTTTGTTATGGTATCGGAGCCTGGGATAAAACCCTAGACGCCGCTACTCTTCTACAATGGCTGAAAATCAGGCTCAAATCGATCCTGAGCAACAGCCTCCACTTCCACAACCAATTGATCCTTTGTCTGATCCTTTCTTCCTCCATGGCTCAGAGCAGCCTGGTTGTCTTCTTGTGGCTGAAAAATTCACAGCCACCAACTACAATGATTGGAGCAGGGCTATGTTCAATGCCCTTGCTGCAAAAAACAAACTTGGGTTCATCAATGGAACCATTCTTGAGCCTGCTATCACAGATCCTAGACATGGGGCATGGGTTAGAAACAATGTTATGATTTTGAGCTGGATCCAACAATCTTCTTCTGCAGAAATCAGGAATACCATTCTTTCAAGCAAGATAGCTTTGGAGGCATGGAAAAGTCTCCAAACTCGTTATGGTTCTGGAGATCTTATTCGTATTGCAGAACTTGAAGAAGCTCTGGCCTCTCTTCAGCAAGGTAATCAAACCATCACTGACTATTATGGTCGTTTTATTACTCTCAAAGATGAGCTGGAAAACTATCAGCCCCTGTTACCTTGCTCTTGTACTCCAACTAGTCATCTTGACTGTGCTGCCATGACAAAAGTGTTCGAATACCAAGAAACAAGTTATGTAATCAAGTTTTTGAGGGGCTTGAATGAAAATTTCTCTGGAGTAAGAGCTCAGGTCTTGTTTGGAGATGAACTACCTAATATCAATAGGGTTTTTCAACGCATGCTTCAGCATGAAAGACAGATCTCCTTGCAATATGATGTCTCTGCACTTGCCATACAAGGAGCAAATCGTCGAGGTTTCTCTAAACCCCCTTACTGCACCTTCTGTAAGAGGGAAGGCCATACAGAGGACATTTGCTTCCAAAAGCATGGTTGGCCTCCAGGAATGTCAAGGCCTTCTTCCTCTCCTACTGCTCCTCCAACAATATGCAATTACTGTAAACGAAGGGGTCATACAGAGGATAAATGTTTCCAGAAGAATGGCTACCCTGCAAACTTTGTTCCAAGAAATCAAAGTTATGCCTTCCCAAGACCAAGACCTGCAGCTCATTCTGTTCAAACTACTTCAGCCCCTGATGATGTTAAGCTATCCAGATCAGAGTATGACAAACTTATGGCTTTAGTCCAGTCTCAGAAGGTTTCTTCCTACCTTTTCTGGTGCTGCCTATATACAACCATCAGGTACCAGTTCTGCATTTTCTTCACTAAAACCTGTCAAGGATGATTCTCCTTGTTCCCAACCCCGTTGGATTGTTGATACAGGGGGCTTCAGATCACATTGTTTGTTCACTACATTACCTTACAGACCCTACTTCTTTGACCAATGTTTTCATTACACTTCCAACTGGCCAGAAAGTTCAAGCAACTCATTCTGGCACAGTTACTTGTCATGATGAACTTGTTTTACACAATGCCCTGTTTGTCCCTCACTTCACCTTCAATCTCATCTCTGTAAGTAGACTAACCTCCACCAATTCTCTCTGTTTAACCTTTCATTCAACCATTTGTCTTATACAGGTTCTGAAGCAGACGAGAATGATTGGTTCTGCTAGACTCTACCATGGCCTCTACTACCTAGAAGACTCCCTAATCCCAAAATTTGCATCAGCTGCTTCAGCTTCCCCTTTTGATCTTTGGCATTTTAGACTAGGACATGTCTCCCACTCTAAAATTCCTCTCATCAAACAATTTTGTACATCCATTGAAACTCAAAAGCACTTACCTTGTGATGTCTGTCATTTTGCTAAGCAGAAAAGACTGCCTTTTTCCTTCCAGTCATTCTGTAACTGAATCTCCTTTCCAACTTCTCCATGTTGACATTTGGGGTCCCAACCCTGTTCCAACTTATGATGGCTTTAAGTATTTCCTCACTGTGGTAGATGATTGTTCTAGGATGACTTGGATCATTCTACTTCAATTAAAGTCAGAAGCCAGACCAAAACTTATATCATTCTGTACTCAAATGGAGAGACAGTACAACACATCAATTAAAACAATCAGGAGTGATCAAGGGAAAGAATTCCATATGCAAGAGTTTTTCAATTCCACAGGCATCACTCATGAAATGTCATGTGTGGAAACTCCATAACAAAACAGTAAGGTTGAGAGAAAACATCAGCATATCCTAGCAGTTGCTAGAGCTCCTCAATTTCAAGCAAACCTACCTCCTTCCTTCTCGGGTGATTGTGTGAAACATGCAGTCTTCCTCATCAATAGAGTTCCCTCTCCTATCATTTCTAACCAAACACCCTTCTACATACTTAATCAAAAACCCCCTGACCTTTCTGAGCTAAGAGTATTTGGCTGCCTTTGCTATGCCAGTACTCTTGCCAACCACAGAACTAAATTCCAACCTCGTGCTAGAAAAGCAGTTTTCATTGGTTTTACTCCTGGAATCAAAGGTTACAAACTCTATGACCTCTCTTCCCATGAGACTTTTGTCTCTAGAGATGTCATCTTCTATGAATCTCATTTTCCTTACCAATCAAACTTACCAGATGCCCCTAACCAGTCTCCTAGTGACCTTTTCTATCCTCTTCCTTCTTCAACCTCTCCTCTACTTCATGAAGATCCCTCTCCTGTTCCCACTGATGTGCCACCACCTTCACCAGCACCATCTCCACACTCTCCTGCCTCCTCCCCACCATCTAGTCCTTCCTCATCTACTCATTCCTCACCATCTCCTTCTCCTCCACCATCACCCCCTTCCCCACCATCACCCCCCTCCTGTTAGAAAATCAGGAAGAATCCCAAAAGACCATCTCATCTAGTCCAAAACTATCACTGTTTTCTTTCACAGGGTCCTAGCAGCATCAATCATTCAACTCTGCAACAGGTTCAAAACAAAAGGTACTCTTTTTCCTCTATGCTTTCTTATGACAAATTAAACCCAGCCTTCCAAAAATTCTTGTTCAACATCTCAGCCACTAGAGAACCTCAGTCATACAAAGAGGCTTCTCAAATTGATGTTTGGAATCAAGCTATGCAACATGAAATCCAAGCTCTCATCAAAAACCACACCTGGGATGTGGTTTCACTTCCAAAAGATAAAAAAACCAGTTGGAAACAAGTGGGTCTACAAAGACAAATTCCTCTCTGATGGTTCTCTTGAAAGGCACAAGGCCAGATTAGTTGCCAAAGGCAATACTCAACAAGAAGGTTTGGATTTCCAGGATACTTTTGCTCCTGTGATTAAGATGACTACAGTCAGAACCTTTCTTGCCATTGCAGCAATGAGGAATTGGCATATTCATCAGTTAGATGTGAATAATGTCTTCCTTCATGGAGACCTTGAAGAAGAAGTCTACATGACTCTTCCAAAAGGTTTTGTTCCTCCACCAGATATTCCCAACTCTGTCTGTCGTTTAAGGAAATCACTCTATGGACTAAAGCAGGCCTCCAGACAATGGTTTTCCAAGTTGACAGACACCCTAATCAGAGTTGGTTATGTTCAGAGCAAGGCTGATCATTCTCTTTTCTACAAGGCAACCGACACCAGCTACACATGTATACTGATCTATGTTGACGATCTAGTCCTGGGGGGCAATGATCTTTCAGAAATCACAGCACTCAAGGAGGTTTTGGATAAAGAATTTAGCATTAAAGACTTGCGAAATCTGAAATTCTTTCTCGGGATAGAAGTGGCCCGAAGCACCACAGGTATTCATTTATCTCAGAGAAAATACACTCTTGAAATCATTGAACAAGCTAATGTTCTGGACAGCAAATCAGTTTCAACACCTATGGACTATAAAGTTCATCTTAGCAATGACCCTGATTCACTTTTTGAAGATCCTGAGCTATACAGAACTTTAGTTGGGAAACTTGTCTATCTCACAACCACACGTCCAGACATCAGCTATGCTACTCAACAGCTAAGCCACTTCATGTCTTCACCCACAGATATCCATTATAAGGTTGTTCTTCGAGTAATCCGTTACCTCAAAACAGCTCCAGCAACAGGGTTGTTCTTCCCATCCAAAGGCAACTTCCAATTGAAGGCCTTCACTGATTCTGATTGGGCCGCCTGTTTTTGAAACAAGGAGATCAACCACTGGTTTCTGCATCTATTTAGGTGATTCCCTGATATCCTGGAAAACCAAAAAACAACATACAGTCTCACGATCTTCTTGTGAAGCTGAATACAGGGCACTGGCATATACATCTTGCGAGATTCAATGGTTACAATACCTGCTCCAGGACTTCAAAGCATCAACTTCATCTCCTGCAACTCTCTATTGCGACAATCAGAGCGCAATTTACATTGCCAAGAACCCAACCTTCCATGAGAGAACAAAACATATAGAACTGGACTGCCATTTTGTTCGAGAAAAATTGCAATCTGGGCGCCTCAAGCTTCTTCACATCTCCTCCAATCACCAGCTCGCCGATCTCTTCACAAAGCCACTGTCACCAGCACCATTTACCTCTTTGATCTCCAAGCTTGGTGTGCGAAATCTCTGCCCACCATCTTGCGGGGGGGTATCAGATTGAAAATCTAGTTTTCAATCTTTCCCTCGTCTCCAACGGTCGAATACGTGGACGACGACGTTTTTCCCTTCATCGCTGGACTCCACCGCTGCGGCATCGTTTCGGCTTGTTCACTGCGCAGCTGACTTATTTCCGAGACTAAAGCGCTGTCGTTTTTATCTTCCCCTTTATGTCTGTACTTTCTTTTCCGGCAAGTTTTGTCTTGTTTCCCTTCCAAGCTTCCAAACAAGCTGTAATGGAGCTTGTCTTTCTTCACTTCTGTATCGCCTATATAAGGCAGACAAAGCAATGAGAAAGGACAGGATTGTAGGGTTTTCAGTTCACAAACACTTCTTTGTTACTTAATAAACGAATTCTTGTATATATCTTCTGTACATTACTTTGGAAAAGACCAACAAGTTCCCATATATAACTCACAATGCAGGATAACAGCAATTGACCAAAACTTAAAAAGATTACAAAACTAATTTTCATGACACTTTTCTTCATTTTACCCCTCACAAAATTCCCTCCTCCCTTATTGGTGTCTACATTATGAAGCTGCACAAAAAATCATATCGAAAAAGTCATCGTAATGGTGTTTCGAGAGTATAATCATAATTCTACTAATGACATACGGGTTCAATAGCTTTCAAAGTAAAATGATACCATATAATTGGCCGTGCTCTGCAATGGTTTACCTAAAAATGTATATTTTAATTAAAACTGAATAACACTTTTGTTTTAAATGAAGGTGGATGTTATTAGAGAACGAAATAAAATTTTCAATAATCGTTAACTTTTGTGATACAAATATAATTTTTTTCCAAACTTTTGGACGCACATTACCAAATCAATTATAATAAAGTCAAACATTATTGATCGTCCAATCACTATTGAACCGAAGCTATACCATACTTAACATATAGTTATGTGTTAATTCATTGTGTGTGTGTAAACTTCTATATGTGACGACCTTTAAATTTGGACAATGAACAAACTATAATTGAGTTGGCCATTAAAAACCTAAGGTAATATCTATTTTTTATCCAAACCTTTTTCATATTCTTTTATAATATCCAAACCTATCAAAATACTAAAATTTAGCCGAATGTTGACTTTCGGTTAGCATTTTTTAGTAATATTGACTTGACAACATAATACTGACTTGGAAGAGACACATGAAGGTCAAGATTCCAAAATTTTAGTACTTTAACTAAGAAAAGAGTTACAAAATTATTAACGATAACGTAAATATGACTAATATTTTGGTGCATTATGAAAGATTTGTCTAATTAATAGAATTTTAATAGGTTTGGATAATATAAAAGAATATGAAAAAAGTTTGGACAAAAAATAGACATTACCCAAAAACCTACTAATGAAGTAGAACATGAAGTTCACATGTAAGGTCACGTGTTTTGTGACCGGCCTAATTTAACTACTTTAATTCATTAGTAGTGAATGTTACTTGGGCAGTCGTGGGTTAGGAGTAAACGAACGTTACTTGGTATAGTAAATCTTCTTAAGGAATGTGAACACATAGTTATTCCGTATAGTCATGTCCTTGTGCATATTAGTTTTACCCCTAACTAATGAGTGGAGATTTAAGTTTATTAGTAATTAACCATTACTTGGAAACTAAAAGACCAAGTTTGGTATAAGTTTTTGGGATACACCAAATACCACACTGAATTTACTATCATTATTTGGTATTCTCGAATACCGAGTTAATTTTTTGGGTTTGTTATTTAAATTAATTTTTTAATAGTATTCAGCATTTGAGATATAAGAATGACATTGATATATACCAAGATATCAAGAAATACCAAAATTTTAAACATGATACAATGAATCTTCCCTCAACTTAGTGAGCCTCAACCCCTCTCAAATAATTAAAGTCTATGGTTCCCCCTTTACTAAAATCATAATTATGTGATTGTAAGAAGTGGCTAATTCTTATTGACTTTTGTTTATGCTTATGATGAAATATTTTAGAAGAATGATTTGCTTAGTTGTATTAATGAATAAATAAAGTGAAACTAACTTGAGATTTGGACAATAATGAGTGATTTAATAATATTGAAGTATACATTGAGTCCATTGTACATGATATTCCACTATTTATACACACGATTAAAAAGCTTTTAATATTTTATGTTCAATTGAAAACACATTATTATTATTATTTAATTTGTATATTTGATTAAATATGATGTGATTTAATTTATTTAGTATTTGATAATGTATTGAAATATTTTGGATTGAGATTAATTTTGGTCGTCATTTAGTATTTGAGATACTAATAAATCGATTTTAAATCACATTGAAAATCTATATAATGACAAAGAAAATCTATATAATGTTGTAAGCTACAAATTAATCCCATTTGGCATTTATCACTCGGGAAAAAAAAAAGAAAAAGTTTACGAGGTCTCGAAATAGTTGACTTCAACGAATTGATTTTAGGTTGCGTTTGTTTTTGTTGAAGATAAATTGATGGGTGCGCCTACGGTGACATGCATGTCACGGTGATTTGTACATTTCGGTCGACCTCAATTAGGATTCGATCGACCTCATTTAGAATTAGGTCGGCCTCATTTAGGATTAGGTCAACCTAATATGTTGTTTCAGTATAAAAGCAGTTTCATGGTGCCTACTTTGGAGATTCATATGATACAATTGGCTAGATGGAAATTGAAGGTTAATGGCTTGTTTTGAAGATGGAGTGTCCCTCTACATATTGAAGTGATTGAGAGCTCGATAGGAAGTCCAGAAGACCATTTTTGAACCTGATCTAAAGGCTATGCCAAAACTGGGAAACTGTCTGAAAATGGCCAAGTGTGGAAACGTGTTTGTGAAGCCTACTTTGGAGCTCAATTCGAGAAGCATGAATGCGAGTCGAGTCCAGGGGCCTCTACCACGTTAAATTAAGCATGTTTTTATACAAATTCAAGGCATTGGATGAAAGATTGGACATCTGTAAGGCTTCAAACAAAAGGGTCGAAGTTGCTACGAAGGCTTTTTTCTGGCAGACTTCGAGCACAAGCAAGCTGCCAGAAAAACAGCCTTCGTAGCAACTTCAAGCCTTTTGTTTGACTTCTTAAAGATATCCAATCTTCCATCCAATGCCTTGCATTTGTAGACAAACATACCTAATTTAACGTGGTAGAGGCTCCTGGACTCGAATCGCATCCATGCTTCTCAAATTGAGCTCCAAAGTAGGCTTCACAAACACGTTCCCAGACTTGGTCATTTTCAGGCAGTTTCCCAGTTTTGGCATAGCCTTTTGATCAGGTTCAGAAATGTTCTTCTGAACTTCCTATGGAGCTCCCAAGTACTTTAATGTGTAGAGGGACACTTCAGTTTCAAAACAAGCCATTAATCTCCAATTTCCATCTAGCCAATTGTAAGATATGAATCTCCAAAGTAGGCACCATGAAACTGTTTTTACACTGAGACAACAGATTAGGTCGACCTAATCCTATATGAGGTCGACCGAAAAGTGCATGTCACCGTAGCAAAGTCCTAAATTGATTTATAGTCAATTTTGATATGAATGAAACTTTTGTAATGAAGTTTGCCACTTGTCAGAGTTTCCACATAACATCATTGTATGATAAATAGGTTTACCCTCTTGCACTCTACTATGCTTTAAAGTACAATTTGAAGTTGTACCATAACGTTAAAAATACAAATTGAAGTTGTAGCATAAGGGAATTTGACATTTATATTGACTTCAAGTTGTACTATAAAATAAAGGTATAACTTTAGTTTGTACCATAAAAGAATTTTACAAAAGAGTGTTGTACCTTAAAAACTAAAACTAAAACACCAATCCTTTTTTTTTTAATTCCCGAGTGATACCTTCTAGGACACCTTGCCTAATCTGGTTGACGACCACCTCATAATCACCTTCCAATGCCACGTGAGTCAAGGATCTTGAGGCGACGATGGTGTAACATCTCTTACTGCTAGGATCTCTTCCAGTTAGGGGTTGACTACTCCCTGGTGACGCATACCAGATGCCACTCCACATGCCCGTCAGACCCATGGATAACAAGACCAGACGAGCACCTTGAGTCACGAACAGCTGCATCGAAGTTGATCTTCGAATAGTCATCTGGTGGAGACGCGTACCATGGTCGAGATAAATATCTGAAAAAGACCAGGGTTAATGAAGGTCGTTTAGCGCAAAAATATAGCAGCTTTAACGACGAATATGGCGTTCATAACAGCTCAACAGAGCTTTTTGAGACTCGTGGCCATGGTAGCCAGAACCCTTCCCACACCGGGTAAAAGAGAAGGGACTTCAATTAGACATTAGTGGTTGCTGATTGGGAAAACGAGTTTAGGATCAAGCCTTGGAAAGAAAGTTTGGTATGAAAGTTTGTTCGATGTTGATTTTGTGGGACGCGTTTGGTGTAGCTCCCCCGGGTGATCAGGACGACAGGATTGCTCTGAAACAAGCTTATTCGAAATTGTTGTTTCTTTTCAAACCTGGACACCGTCACCTGACCATCCCTGCCCCATAGACCATTTGCCCACTGCTGGAGAAGCCCCAACTTAGGGAGAGCCCCCACGAACTGCCCGATCAGACAATCCTTCCACCTTTCCTCGTCCCTCTTTTTCACTTCGCGAGGCAGACGAAATCCATCGTGAATCTTTTCTGGCGGGCGGAAGCGCATCCTGTTGGCAGGAGCAACATCAAAAAGCGAAGCCCAAGACACCGCCTCCCCAATCGGAGCAGTGACCGACGGAGAGGCCGCCATGGCGGCGAGAAAACCCTAACCAGAGCCCGAGCGCGAGAGAGAGAAAACCCCAACCAGGCCTTGAATTTTATTTACGCAAATGTCCTAAAAATAATTTTGTTAAATAGTAATAATAATAAATACATAAATTCAGAAAATGATTTCAAATTTCCAATCAAACGCCACGCAAAAAGGGGGGAAAAGGAAAAATTGATTAAGGAAGTCTCCAAGTCCAATTCCTATCTCTATAAAAAAATCCAACTCCTATCATGTTGAGAGAAAAAAATGGCAAAAGCCAAAAGGCTATTTGGCCCATTCCACATCACGGTCTCATTTCAATTGAAGGCCCCTATTCCAATTCGCCCTGCAGCCTGCAGGTCTTTTGTCTTCACAGCTCCACTCGACAGTCTCCAAAGTAACGGCCTCATTTTACATATATATATATATATATATATATATACTAGATTGTACCACGTCTGTTGGCCGGTTGTAATATGATCGATGATTGTAGATAACAAATTTTCTAAGTTTAAATTCTAGTGATATTCTCTTCTTTTATATTCGTGTAATGATTATATGTTAATATCATGCGAATTAAAAAAAAATTCTATCAATTTTAAAAATACCAATATAGTTTCTTAGTGTTGGCCATTAAAAAAGACAAATTATTCAATTGTTGAGAAAATAGAAAATGAGCATCCATCATACATATTATAACATTGTAATCATTGTCTTCTATATATGCAGATTGTGGTTGAAGTTAAAACAATAGGACTCATGGAAGGGAATATCAACTCATAATAAACTTAATGACACAGTATTATAGGTATTCCAAAATGACCGGTAACATTTCATCACCATCAAGAATCTTCATCGTGAACTCCATTGTCTTCATCATCAATAGACGCTTCTTTTTTAATAGTTTATGCGAAGCAAATTTAAAGACTAAACTTAACCATATATGAAAAATAATTTTCACAACAAAAGAATTCACCTCATTCTAGTCACAACTATTGTTGGAGATCATTGATTATCTTCGAAAATCTTAATTTTGTTGGGATTGGTGGTGTTCTAACCAACACAGTCAAAACGTGATTCTAGGTAGAAGCATTTTGGTGACCTAGAATGGTAAAAACATAAACTTTTAACCTGAAAACATGATTTTGACTACATTATTTCACAAAATGTATCAAAACACAGTGTTTCAATGTAGATTCGTTTTGATAACCTAAAAGCGTAAGGTTTTAAGATTTATAATGCTATTTTACTATATTTTTTTGTAACCACTAAACTTTATGTGGAACTTCAACACCGATCCATTTTTTGTAAATATTCCATTTCTTCATTTAATAAGATATAAGGGAGAGGATGTATTATTCTTCCACTATTTTTAATAGCTATTCAGCATTAACTCTTAAAATCCAACCTTGGAGACAACAAACTCATGTTTAAAAAAAGCTACAACAATCTCATGTATAATTTGGTTGAATCCACAACTAAAGTAGGGTTCTAAATATTAAAAATGTTGATAATTGAGATTCATTATTTAGAAAGCAATATAAACTTTATTGAGGATGATTCCTAAATTGACTAAGTTTCACGAAAAGATGTGATTATCACCTAACCGTTAGAGTGTTCCATGTTGGCTAAAATCTTATTTTTATCATAGAAATAATCAAAATAAAATAATTTAAGATGCATTTTTAAATTTTAACATATAAGAAAGATTTTTAATGCCGTAAGAATTTTACATTGAGTGA